CCCATTTTACTTGAGGTGGGGCCTTGTTAAATTGCCCAAACTGACTTTGAATGCACTCTATAGTCCAGGCAGGACTTGAAATTTCAATCCTTGGGACCGGGCCTGATTTCTGTCACCTTTTCCTAGGAAATCTTGTATTCACTATGTGACATTCTGTTAAGGACAGGTGAGTCACAAACCTGCCCAGATTCAAGGGGAGGGAGAACCTACCAAACAGCTACTGGGTGGGGTGGGGGAGAGGAGGAAGGGAACGTCTAAAGAGCTTTTGGAACAAGGGGTTTTAGTGCACGCCTTTAATCCCAGCACTCGGGAGGCAGAGGCAGGTGGATCTCTGTGAGTTCGAGGCCAGCCTGGTCCACAGAGTGCGTTCCAGGACAGCTAGATCTACATAATAGAGGCCTTGTCTTAACAAACAAACAACACCCCACTTGGAACCAGGTTCAGCATGTGCCCATAATGGAACCAGGTTTAACATGTGCTGATAATCCGGGCATTCAGAAGGTTGAAGCACTTGGCTTTAGACAACAGCCTAGGGCTACACAGTAAACCCTGTCTAAAATCAAAACAAGCAGGCTGGGTGGGAGACACATTGTCACAGATAGTTTTATGATTGCTGATTGGGGCTAGCAGTGAAGACTTGGACAACTGTATTGTACCTCTAAGTTCCTGTTCACCATTTGTGTATCTGGTATGTTTGACTGTACTGGTCATTTTGTTTGAAAAAGGTATTTTTAGGATCAATTCTTTGTAGGCCTAGAATGAAGGTACAATCTTCCAGAGAGGATTTGGTTTGCTCCTACTGAGCTGCCTGTAGACAACAGTGAAAGATTTTAGTGTTCCCCCCCCCCCCCATGTCACCTAGGCAGGCCTGATCTCCCCAGTGCTGGGATTACAGGCACATCAGGCTTTAGGATCATTTTTGGCTAGCAGATTTGTCCTAGCAATTCAGGACACTAAAGTGTTTTTAATCCCCATCTCTTCTACAGGTTCTCGTACCCAAGGTAAAGTCTGCCCTCACTTCAGATCTTTCCATTCAGGGATTATAAGCAATCTTCCCAGAGTTGGACTATTGAGAATGAACTCAGCACCCTAGGGGTGGGTCTCTCTGGAGGCCCTCAGTATCCACAGCCCTCCCCCCCCCCATCCAAGGGACCCAATGGACTCACAAGTCTAAAGTCCACCTGGTGGAATGAATGCTTTTGTCTCGGGAGAGGTCCCAGGGAAACCCTGGTTCTGTGGGGTGATGGGGCAGGGAAGGTGGCTGGAGATAGTCATCCAGACTCTCTCTCATCCTTAGGACACAGCATCCAGTGACAGTGACTCTGATTACGATGGGGACGACCGACTCTCACCTGTTCTGCCCCAGGACCACCTGGGCCTGGCGGTCTTCTCTGTCCTGTGTTGTTTTTGGCCTGTGGGCATCGCTGCCTTCTGTCTGGCCCACAAGGTTAGTCTGTGTTTGGGACTGGGAGGGTGCTGGATTAAAAAAAAAAGGGGGGGGGGGAAAGAACCAAGAGGAGCCCTGCTATGCTTAAGGTGGTAGGGGGTGGGCTGGAGAGTAGCCTCCACATAGAAACACATAGGTATAACCTGATGTGGTGGTGACTGCCTGTAATCCTGGGCAGTCTTGGGAGGCTGAGGAGGAGGTTCAAGGCCAACCTGGCTACAAAATGGGATCTTGTCTCAAAAGAATCAAAGAAAGGAACAGGGTTGAGGCTGCAGCTCAGTTGGGAGGTCCTGGGTTTGATGGAGATGGAGGCAGGAAGATCTAAATTCAAGGTTACCCTTGGCTACAAAGGGAGCCCCAGGGCAGCATGGGCTACCCGAGACTTTGTGTCAGAGCAAAGGGAGGACAGAAGCTAGGAGGAAAACCAAGACACGTTTCATGAACCCGGAGTGGTGATGAAGGCCTTGGAAACTCATCCCCATAGGTTTCCTCCTTAGTAAATGGAAACAATTCCTATCTCAGGGTCATTGTGCAGATCAACTAAGGTAAACACTGCCATAAAATGGCGGCATGTGGAAACATTCCTCCCACCCCACCCCAGACAGGGTTTCTCTGGGTAGCCCTGGCTGGTCTTGAACTCAGAGATCCGCCTGCCTCCGCCTCCCAAGTGCTGTGATTAAAGGAGTGACACCACCAAACATGGAAACATTGTTTTATTAGTTGTCCAACTGGGGCAATCCTGTGCCCCAACCAAAGTTTTAGAACAGACTGATCAGTTCCACTGGGTTTGGGGAGAGCCACAGGAAGCAGGGTGGAGTATGAGGGGGGCACTGTGGTTACAACTGCCCACTGCCTCAACAGACCAGCAGGGCTTGGACCAAGGGGGACATCCAAGGGGCAGGGCCACCTCCCGCCGTGCCTTCCTGCTGGGGTCCTTGCTGTGGGGCTGGGCCTGTGCATGTACGTGGCTGCCCTGGTGACCTTGGCTGCCTACCTTGCCTCCCGAGACCCGCCCTAGTTGCCCTGCGGGCCCCCACTGTGAATGCAGAGGCCAGAGGCCCAGTGAACCCGTGACAGGAATGGATGATCTTGGTGCATATGGTGGTGACGGCGAGGACCACATCATCCAGAAATGAGTCTGCTGATTTCCTGGCCACCCCCACCCAGAGGGAAGCTATGTGAGATTAAAGAGACCCTGAAGCCAAACCGGAGTCCGCCTGTGTGTTTGGGTGTGTCCAGGGTGGAATGGTGTGGGCACCAGAGAGCAGGAGGGACCAGCGAGGATCAGACCTCAGAGTTTGAGGTAGGATACTGCAGTATTTTCTTCTTCACAGCAGGAAGAGCAGAATTAAGAGCCAGGAGGTTCCAAAGTATGTGTGTGAGTGTGTGTGTGGTGGAGTAGCCTATGGCTTGCCAAGGCGCTCTTCCCACAGCAGACTGGAGAAACGATTCAGTTGTCTAGAATCAAAAGGAAAGGAAACTGTGGTGGGAGAGTAGGACCTGGGAGCCATGCCTGGTATCCTGGTAACTCAGGAAGCCGGGGCAGGAGGATCACAAGTTCAAGTTGGCCTGGAGGTGAGCTTAGTGATAGATCACTTGTCTAGCATGTACCAGGTCCTAGGTTTAAATCAGGACTACGGGGAAAAGAGAGGCAGCCCTGACAGCTTAGTGAGACTCTGATGAAACAAACATACAAAATATGAAGTTGGCACTCCCAGCACTTGGGAGGCAGAGGCAGGCGAGTCTCTGTGAGTTGGAGGCTAGCCTGGTCTACAGAGTGAGTTCCAGGGCAGCCAGGGCTACACAGAGATACCCAGTTTGGGGGTGGGGGAGGGGAGGAAGGTTATGGTGGTGAAGAGGGCCAGGGGCATGGCTCAGCAGTATACAGCTTGTTCAGAATTCACAAGTCCCTGAGTTCAAACCCCAGAGCCAGCTCAGGGTGGTGGTGCTTGCCTTTACTCCCAGCACTAAGGAGGCAGAGGCAGGTGGATCTCTGAGTTCAAGTCCAAACTGGTCTACATGAGTTCCAGGCCAGTCAAGAGCTACACAGTGAGACTCTCTCGAAAAACCAACTGAGTAAGTCTTAGAGACACCGAAACAAAATAATGTGCCTGGGCTTCAGTGATGTGGGCATGGCTCCCTCTGCAGACATAATTTCTTCCTTTCTTGTGGAAAAAGAATCCCAACAGCTTAAATCATTTAGAGACCAAACTTCTTCCTTCCCAAATGGCTCTCCAAACCCACTTCAGCCAAGGCCTTGGGTTTTCTGCAGAACGGGCCTCCAAGTGTGCACCACCAACGCCCGGCTATGTAAGAGCTGGATCTTTAAGGAATCAAAGTGCTGGTGGCACCAAGTACGTGAACCGCCAACCCAGCACTTAGCAGTATACAGAGAGTGACCACAAAGTGGGGCCTGAGAGTATCAAGTAATAAAAAGGCAGGAGTTTGGCTGTTAAATGCCACTGTGACAGAAGAAAATACTTTTTTCCACTTAGCATTCCCTCCAGCATCTGAGGGCAAAACTCCAAGCTAAAGATACCCGTGCATTTCCTTCCTGGTTGTCAGGAGTAAGGATACCTGCTCGGGAGGGTGGCGGTAGGGAGTGAGCCAGGTCTAGCCTGTGAAATACAGGCAGAATGGGCCCCACACATGGAAACTGTGTCCATGGTCTGCTGATTTGCCCCATGTTGACGGGTTGTGGGAGTTAATCTTTACAGAAATTCCCAAATGCTTGGCTCCAGCCTTCTCAATACCATGAGCATGGGAGCACCAGCTGGCTGGGACCCAATGACTTGTTTAAACAAGGCGCTCCCAGATGCTGGTGTTGCCCTGAATAGCCAGGGCTCTGGGTACGAGTCTTATGGCCTTGGCCTTCTTCTGCAGGCTAGCTGGTAACCTCACAGCTACAGGGCTCCTCTGTTTATGTTATCTTCGAATGAGGACTGTATCAGCCTTTCATTGGGGTGTTGGATATGGGCCTCTGCTGGTGGCCCTCAAAGCCCCATGTGGCTGTCTGTTCCTTCCTGCACACCCCTTCCCTTTCCTCCAGCTCTCCTTCCTGCATGGACCCCTTGGACTCTCCTTCATGTTACCCAAAAGCTCACTGCCACTTTCCTCCTTCAGCTGCACCACCTTTGCCTGTGAAGGCATCCTGATACAGAATTAACTACCCCCCAAAAGTAACCCCCCTTTAGATTTAATTTTGTCTGTGTGCACAAGTGCCCAGAGGCCAGAAGAGGATGTCTGATCCCCAACAGCTGGAGTTACAGATGGTTATGAGTCACCTGATGTGTGTGCTAGGAACTGAACTCAGGTCCTCTGGAAGAGCAACAAGTGCTCTTAACTGCTGAGCCCTCTCCAGATCACCTTCTTTTTAAAAATAAGACAGTCTCGGGTAGCCCATGCTGGTCTCACTATGCCAAGTGGTAGGACTGTTGGCACGTACCACCACGCCTCTCTCTTACCCTGGAACATGGGACCTGGGTCTCTCATTCAGTGCCACCTTCTTGGCACCCAGCAGGCCCAATGAATAAGTGCTCGCCAGACATCAGCATCAGTGGCTATTGACTCATTCACTCAACACAGGTGAGCTCCCTTTAATGGTGTCCTGTTGAGGGGAGGGTTGTGACCAGGCTTGGAAATGTCCCTAAGCCTCCTCCCCAGTCTGGCACAGGAGCCCCTGCTGCTGTAGGACTGGAAGCCACATGGGCACAGAGAGAGGCAAGCTGGGGTGCTGGCCTGTGGCAGCTGGAGGCAGTGGGCGTGGTGGCGGGGCGCCCTGCCCTGTCTTGTCTCAGCTCTTAGAGTAGCGCCTCTGCAGTGATTCCCGGTAGAAGCGGAAGATGTGGTGTGAGGCAGCCTGGGCAGCAGCCAGGCACTGCTGGAGCTGGGAAGGGAGAAGCCAGTTAGTGCCCAGGGTTGTTCCCCAAATGAGTCCCTAAACATAGCACCCCCCCATTACTCCTCACTACAATGGCCATTTCCTTCTTCACTACCTCCTAACCCCCATCCCATAATAGTGGTGATGCATGCCTGTAATGAGATATACACATAACAGCCCTGAACAATCCTCCTGCCTCAGTCTCCTAAGTACACCACTACACCTGGTTTTATAGGACACTGGGGATGGAACCCTAGGTCTCATGCATACTAGACAAACCCTCTACCAATAAAGCCACATCCTCAGGACCCCAAGCTTGCCTCCTCTTTTTAATATGCAATTTACAGTGTGTGTGTGTGTGTGGGTGTGTGTACGTACCTCGGCATCAGAATAGAGCCCCTTGGTGGTGGACATCAGCAGCTTCTGCTCCACACTGTCCAGAGCAAAGGTCAGGATGGCCCGGGCCTCCTAGGGTCAAGAGGTAGAAGGTATTAAGTGTCCTGGGACCCTCCTCTCTTAAGATCTCAGCCAGTCTCGAGCAAGGGTAACTGGACCCTTAGCGTCTAGGTCAACTGCAGTTGTCTGTCTGCACACTATACAAACCCCAAGGGTAACTGTTGCTCTTCTTTGCCTTTATTCTGACAGCTCTCCCATCCCATGGGGGGAGCCACAGTGCTGGTCATTTCCTGGCTGCCTCTCAACCGCCCACTCTCCCTTCCTTGCTCTGTACTACAGACAAACCAGTGATCCAGTCCCCACAGCTCCCTTGATGTTAGGTTTCCCCAGTTATCTGAGGGGAGCCCAGGAAGTCCGGAGAGAAGCACTGTGGTCCCCACTCTGACACCAGCAGTTTCAGTAGAAAGCCACAGAGGTGAGGTGGGTTCTGAAACCCCACAGCCAAGATAGAACCCTGCCCCCCAGCTCTATTCTGTGTGTACATCTGCAACCAACTGTGGTGATATCACGGCAGGACCGGGCTGGGGCCCAGCCTGCACTGGATCTCTTCTTCCTCCTGGCTTCTCTGGCACTGTTGTCGCCACCCCTGCATCAGACCCTTCATGTGAAGTGCTGAAGATGACATGCTTCCCTAACTGTCATCATCGTGACCAACATGGAGCACAAGAACCAGAGGTCTGTTCTACACTTTGGTAATGAATGCTAGCAAGTTTCTTTTCTGGCTTGTGCAAGTGTGAGTTGGGTATCTAGCACTTAAAGCTGAATGAACCTTGATGAATGGGGCAGAACCTGCCGAATGGGCCAGGGTGCACGAGCCAACTGACCTGCACAGAAGGAAGGCCACTGGGCTGCAGCCCTTCACCAACATTAACTTTCCACGCCTACCTTTTCTTGCTTGGTTGTGGGGTCCAGCACAAGATTGCCATCAGAGTCCAGGGCACAGCTGACCCCACAGAAGAGAGCCCGCATGGGCACACCTGCGTCCACCAATGCCATGCAGGCAGCATTCAGGCAACAGGCCAAGAGCTGAGCATCAGAGTGGTTAAGAAGTGTGTCTTCTGTGGGACTGGCCAGCAGAACACATCCACATGTCCCTTTACCCGCTGATGCCTGTGGCAGACATCACTCACTGATCACAGAGCAGCAGCATGGCAGGGTGGCTATGTGGTTCTGGCACCAAGTAGTTGCCACTGTTCCATACTGGGCGTAATCACCTCCCTCCAGCTAGGAGGCCAACCGCTCCCAGTCTCCCTGTGTTCAACAGGATGTTGCTAGGGAACAGATACATAAACTAAAGGATGTACCAAGCATCTTTAGTGAAACAGTCAGAGAAAGAGGGATCTCCCAGTCACACAGGGAAGACACAGGCAAAGCCAGGCCCACCAGCTGGGGATCCAGTGGGCAGCTACTGTGCTAGATAACGGAGCCAATGACCATTCTACCTGCTTGGTGCTCCCCCAGCAGAGAGCCAGAAACTCAGGCCAAGGTGAAGAGATGTCACTGGCTCAGGCACTGGGTTTGGACAGGCCTGAGCTTGAGTCCCACCTCTGCAGCCTCTGGCTGCCACCATTCTATTCCCTTGGGCAAGACACGGCCCCTCTCTGAGCTTTAGTTTCCTCACCACAAAACAGGGAAACGTAAGAAACACACACGAATGAGTCCCTGGGCTCTCGAACCAGAAAGCCGGAGCCTTGGGATTTACACAGGAATTACAATGCTACTCAACACAGGTCCTGTGGCAACTAAATGACAGCATTCGGAGCACCCAGTGCGCCCTGCTTGCTAGTTTCTAAAAAATGTGTGTGTGTGTGTGTGTGTCCGTCCATGGCAGGTATGTGCTGTGGTGCTCACATGGTGGTCAGAGGACAACTTGCAGGAACTGGTTTCTCTGTCCACCACGTGAGTCTTGGGGACTGAATTCAGGTCGTCAGCAAGCACTTCACCGCTGGGCCCTCTTGCTGGCCCTGGCCTTGTCTCATGCTCTTTATGAGCGGTTTCCTGGCACGGGTTCTGCGTGGCTGCGGGGTCACCAGAAGGGAAGCCACAGGGAGGTCCTGGGCACTTCCTAGAGGAGAGGACTGGGAAAGGATACAGAGCCAGCATCGCTCACCACCTGCAGCACCACCGTGATTGAGGTGCGGGGGTGCAGGGCTCCCAGAACCACGGCTTCACATGTATTCCGGATCAGCTGCTCCCGGCTCTTCTCGGCCACGCCTGGGGAGACAGGAAGTTGTCAGGCTCTTCCCCTCTACCCTATCATCTTGTTCTACTCTATCCAGCCTCTGGAAGCAGACTTCCAGAAGAGGCTGTCAGTCTCAGCCCAGGAAGGTGTGCACACTCCCAGGACAGAGAAGGCAGGGCCTGGACCTTTCTGAGGGTCCACCAGCCAGCCAGCCAGCCGAGGAGGAATGCCCAGGAGTGCCCACATCCTGTGCTATTGGCCTTCCCGACCCCACCAGAGCAGGCCCACCCCACCACACACATGGTGATGCCGTAAAAGGGCAGAAAAACAAGTTAATGGAAAGGAGAAATGAAGGCACAGAAGGGAAGAACGGAGACAAAGAAGTAGCTCAAGAAGGGGGGTCTGGTGGTGCTGGTCTGCAGTCTCGGGATTTGAGACACTCAGGCAGGGGGATCACAAATTTGAGGGCAGCCTAGGTTACAGAGAGTGCAGTACCAGCTTAAGCAACTTAAGACCCCATCTCCAAAAGTAAAAGGCTGGTGGCATAGCCCAGCCACCCAGCCTGAAGTTCACCAGGGAAGGGTGGTGCTGTGGCTCTGTCTTAGAATGTCTGCTTGGAGCCCATCAGGGAGGACCTGGGAGGCCTCGGCAGAAGAAGGCTTGACCAGAATCCACCAGTGAGAGCCCAGGAGTGTGGCTCTCTGGAAGAGCATCTGTCTAGCAGGCATGAGGCTCTGGATTCCATCCCTAGTGCAGCAAAAACTAAAACAAAGCCAAGAGCGCTGGGCAACGAGCGGGGCAGTGGAGACCGGACGCAGTAAGCGGCGGGAATCGGGTAAGGCCCTGACAGACAGGATCTTCGGAGGTTCAGCCGAATCCAGTTACCAGGCAGCCCGATCTTCGGCCTCAGGATCACTTCGAGTGTGGCCTTGTTGAAGATTTCTTTGCTGACCTTCACCTCAGCCGGCCCGTACACTCCAGCCAAGACAGAGGTGTCACCTGGGGAGACATCAGCGGACATCGGCCTCTGCCACACCCTGCCACCCTTACCAATTCTCCGCTCTGCTTTCTCAGCTTTAAGAGGGGTTCCCTCTAATCCCTCCCTTGTGGCACTTTTGTGAAGATCACATGACAATAGTTCACAGAAGCAGGAAGCCCCGAGTCTCTCAGCATCACACAAGGTCATCCTTGGTTCCGTACTGAGTTTGAGGCCACCCTGAGCTACACGGGACCATCTCAAACAGAAACCCATTATTACATATAATTAATCTAGACTAACAAAAAAATTTTAAAAGGCCTAACAAAAATAGACAAAAAAGGGTCTATAGTTGCCATGGGTAGGGGTCTATTTTCTGCTCATTTTCCCAGAAAGGATATGAATGGGTCTGGAGAATAAAAAGCCCGGCTTCTGTTCCTGACTGCCTATTCTTGGCCCTTGTGTGACTTTGATAACTTCTGTAGGCAACAGAGAGGCCATCTACAAAGTGAAGACACTGCACTCAAACAGTGGTTTCCACATGTTTCTGACCGTAATGCCCAATAACCAACACACTTCACAGCACAACTCCAAACTGACAAATGTATGTGTGTAAGTGAATCGTTGGGGCTGGAGAGGTGTCTCAGCGGTTAAGAGCACTTGTTGCTCTTGCAGAGGACAACTCCCAAGCATCTGTAACTACAGCTCCAGGGGACCTAACATACTCTTCTGAGCTCCTCGGGCACTAGGGAGATCCATAAAAAAAAAAATTTAAAAACCAAGGGGTTAGGGATGTAGCTCAAGGGTATGGCATTTACCGAGCATGTGCAAAACCCCCCAAAAAAACCAAAAGCAAAAACAAAAATAGCCGGGCAGTGGTGGCACACGCCTTTAATCCCAGCACTCGGGAGGCAGAGGCAGGCGGATCTTTGTGAGTTCGAGGCCAGCCTGGGCTACCAAGTGAGTTCCAGGAAAGGCGCAAAGCTACACAGAGAAACCCTGTCTCGAAAAACCAAAAAAAAAACCAAAAAACAAAAAACAAACAAAAAAAAACCCCACAAAAAACAAAACCCAAGATGGCTAGCCTACAAAAGCAGGTGATAAGCTCTGGGCTTTGTAGGTTTTTATTGTTGGATTTTCTGAGCTTAGGCTCTATACAGTTTAAGTTGCCTTGAACTTGCTATGTAGCTGAGTGAACCTGGCCTTGACCTGATCCTCTTGCCTCTACCTCCCAAGTGTTGGGATTAGGGGAATGCACCTTCAGGTTTTTGTTTGTTTGTTTTTCGAGACAGGGTTTCTCTGTGTAGCTTTGCGCCTTTCCTGGAACTCACTCTGTAGCCCAGGCTGGCCTCGAACTCACAGAGATCCGCCTGCCTCTGCCTCCCGAGTGCTGGGACTAAAGGCCTGCGCCACTAGAGCCCTGCTGTACCATCAGTTTTTTTTTTTGTCGTTGTTGTTGTTGTTTTTTTTTAATTCTGTTTTTAAGTTAAGATACTGTGTTGGCTACTTTTGTCAACTCACCACAAGTTAGACAGATCTAAAAAGAGGGAATTTCAACTGATGAACTGCCTGCAGGGGCTTTTTATTGACTAATAATTTATATGGGAGGGTCCAGCTTGCTGTGGGCCGTGCCACTTTTGGACAGGTAGTCCTAGGTTGTATACCAAAGCAGGCTGAGCAAGCCACAAGAAGCAAGAGTTCCTCCATGGTCTCTACTTCAGTTCCTGCCTCGATTTCCCTCAGTGGACTATAACTTGGGATATGAAAGCCAAACACACCCTTTCCTCCTGAGCTGCTTTTGGTCACAGCCCTTATCTCAGCCACAGAATCTTAATGAGGGCACACACAAGAGAAAACAGATTTCATTCTGTCATTGCCATATACACCCAAGAGAACAGATTTCATTCTGTCATTGCCATCTACACCCAAGAGAACAGATTTCATTCTGTCATTGCCATATACACAAGAGAACAGATTTCATTCTGTCATTGCCATCTACACCCATCAATTTGCATTGTTTGCCACTGCCCCCCCCTCCCTCCCCCCCTTCTGTAGTTTCTGTAAACTCACCATAGACTTTGAGTTCAGAAGTGTCTGGAACACCTTTTTAAAGTCTTAAACTCTGGCTGCAAGAGCAATAGGTGTTAACCACCAAGCCATTTCTCCAGCCCCCAGTTCTCTCCTTTCTTAACCTCCCATCAGTCTTCAATGTTTGCCCCCTCTACCTGATTCTCTCACAGGAAAACTCCGGAAGAGTTGTCTCCACTCTGCCCTTTCTCCCTTTCTCTGACCCCAACACTACTACACTGCACTAGAAGCAATGATCTCCAACTTAATTAGCCCTAAAGTGGTCAGCCCTTACATCTCAAACACAGCTCACCAATGCTGACACCAACTCACTGCCCTCTTTCCAACGTCTGCTTTGGTAGTTCCTCACATTCCCATGGCCTCTCAAAGGTGGTTGATCCACAGTGTGGGTGTCAGTCATGAGACCTCCCTTTTCTCTCTCTCTTCGCTTACTCTGATGAGCTGTGTATACCAGGCAAAGGCACATTTACTCAAATATGGAGTGGGAGAAGGGGGAGATACTTGTCAGCCCAGGATGGGAATATCACATCCAATTTGAAGAGCATTTTCTTGGATAAATCATCTGCCACGGTAATTACATTTAAACCATAGGTGACGAGACATACCCTGTCTCAAAGGGTTTGTATGCAAATGAACATCTTAGCCTCAACCAGTGATGTATGGATCCAGAAGAAGTGTGTGGGAGGAAATCTAGTCAAGGGAAATATTTGTGTTGGTGGAATTTCACCTCTTCTGTAATATTCACTCTTACTAGGGTGGTACTGACCCGATTCCTTCAGAGAGGGGTGTTTTTTTTTGTTTTTGTTTTTGTTTTTTTAAACCAGGCTGGGCATATCATTTCTTTTCGAGGCGGGAGAGGTGTGTATCCCCAATATTTAGAAATAGTTTTTTCAAGGAGATGGGCGCACTCGGTTGCACACCACACAGTAACCGCTCTTCAAGAACAAACCCCACTTCGGTGAGGACGGCGCACGCACTTAAACCTGGTTAGGGTCTTACCTTGCAGAAAAGAAGCAGACCCATCCGGCCGGGACAGCAGGTTCTGTTCACAAGCAAAATGCCGGAGGCTGCAGACTGGATTTCGAGGGTTGGGCTCTGTTCCGGTGTCAGTACTTGCCTCGGCGTCTGCACGCTTAGTTACCTCCATAGCCGCCGACCACGCGCGCAGAGATCCGACCGTAGCTTCCGCATAGCTATTGCGCATGCGCTAGTCTCGGGCGCGCCTGAATTAACCCTCGCACGTGGCTCAACGTTTACTAACAACCTGGTTCCGCCCACCTCCACCTCCTGATTCCCGTAAAGCCATTGGACAACAAAGAATAGGGGGCGGGTGTCGGAATGGGCCCATCTTGCCCAAGGTCCCCGGGCCCTAAACCCGTGGGACGCTAGTCAGGCTGTCCTTCTTCTGCCTGATATTGGAGCAACTATAAGCAGGAAACTGGAGCAATTTTAGACAATAATACTTGCCATATGAACTTATGTATGTGTCTTTGACTCAGGGTGGTTGGAATTAGATAGCTCATTGGCCTAGTTGTGCGGCCACTTGAATAAGGCAACTGATGGGGCAGCCCTACATCTCTCCTGTGAGGAGGGAGGCGTGGTTATTAGTCAAGATGGTGGTAGCGATGTCTTTGGCCAAGATCTGGAGGCCGGGCCGTGTCCTGGGCCAGGCTGCTCTCCTGCTGCTGCGGCGGCCTGGGGTTCGGGGCTTGGCTAGATCCGTGAGTACCTGGGCCCCACGAGGTCTTTGCTGAGAAGAAGTAAAGACGTAAAGGTTATTCTTACAGTGTGTGTGGGTCACCGCGAGCTGTCAAGGAAGGACCAACTCAGAAAGGACCCTCGATGGAGGGAGACAGGACGAGTAGGAGTTTGAAAGACAGATCAGATGTTCACAGAGTTCTACATTTCTTTATTCCTTTACTTAAGTTTCAATTCTAGTGCGAGTTGAGCAAGAAAATGGTTTGATTCCCATGTCCCCTGATCAAAAGTCAAGGTAGGGGACTTTGCCAAGACTGTTGTTTACAGGCGATCAGTCTGTGTTTGTTGACTTCATGAAGGGATACAAAGAGAGCGAGAAATCCAGACAGGACCCTTTATCCACGCTATTTTTTTTTTTAAATTTATTTATTATGTATATACAGTGTTCTGTCTGCATATACACCTGCAGGTCAGAAGAGGGCACCAGATCTCATTACGGATGGTTGTGAGCCACCATGTGGTTGCTGGGAATTGAACTCAGGACCTCTGGAAGAGCAGCCAGTGCTCTTAACCTCTGAGCCATCTCTCCAGCCCCCCC